CGGCGCATCCCTCGGAAAATCTTTCGATTCTGGGAAAATGAATTTTATGACTATATTTTTTTAAGTGCTTCAAGTACCCTCTTACTTTTTTAATATTTTCATATATGCCCTCATAGGACGCTTGTGAGGTCAAAATACTCAAAATAACATCTATATATTGGGTATACATCTGACATTTACTGAACATTCCAAAACTATTTCGTTAAACTAAGGCAAATATATTGCTGTACGTAATAACTAAATATGTATAATTGTTTCACATTCATTTATTTAGAGTAATATACTAAAATGCATCAAATCGAACTTTAAATTTTGCAGAAAGCTTTTTTTTAGGAATGACTTTTCTTGTTTCTTGTAAGGGACCTGGTAGCTATAGAATGTCAATATTAAATATAATACAGTATTTGCCCGACTCTTTTTTGGCCACATGCGGGCTTGTGAGTTTTTCGCTGTATATCATCATTTCTGAATGAGCTTAATTGCCCAGTACTGGTGCCGAAATAATTTTTTTCTTTCTTCAAGAAAAACCCGCAGCGCCTTGGAGGCATTATTGCGGGGTACACACATCTTTATAAAAATCATCAGAATTTACACGGCACACCACATCTCCCGATAAGGAATTCCATTCCTTACTCGTCCTAACAAAGAATGAATATTTATGAATATCTGTCCTGGTCAGATACGCTTGAACCTTGCAGCAATGATCTATTCGTGATGAATGGTAATTAGGTGAACATAAGAACGATGAAGCACGAACCCCTGTTTAGTTATGATAAATTGAATAAAACAACTTAAGTCGAAGATTTTTACGCCCTTCATTTAAAGGTACCCAGCCCAGCTCCCTTTTCATTTCAGATGTGCTAAGGAAACGATCGTATCTCCCCAGGACAAAGCGAGCAGCGACAGATTGAATGCGTTCAAGCGCGTTAATGCCAACTTGGTAAAACAGATCCCACAGAGGGCACGCATATTCCAGAAATCGGCCTGACAAATGGCATATAAGCTGCCTCTTTAAGTTCTTTACTTACATGTCTTAAATTACGCTGTAAAAAACTAAGAGCCCTACCTGCCCTGCCAACCACGCAATCCGCTTGCGCTGCCAATGACCCGTCTTCAGCGAATATCACGCCCAGATATTTAGATGTGGCTTCAGTACTAATTGTTTCATAGTCAAGAAAGTTGTGAATAATTAATTTCTTGCGTTTTCTTTGGAAACAAACATAGACGCATTTACTAATATTCAAGGTCATTCCATTAGTTATTCCCCATGTTTGAATTCCTTTTAGTTGGTCCATAAGCTGAGTGGAATCCGCTTCACAGGACACTGTTGTGTACAAAGTACAATTGTGAGCGAATTGTCGTATTTTAGACTCAATACCACATGAAATATTATTGATATAAATAAGAAAAAGAAAGAGGCCCTAATATCGACCCCTGTGGTACGCCGGATGTAACGGAAACAAAGACCGAACATGCTATGAATACTAAAACTTGCTGCTGCCTTAAAGTTCAATAATCTTTTATCTATCGTCTAACAGTAGTATCAGCATTTAAATCTGCAAGCTTTTGTAGAAATATTGAGTGAGAAACAGTTTCGAATGCGTTTCTAAAATCAGAGAATATACAGTCAACCTGGCCCTTGTTATCAAGTTCAACAGCAATATCATGGTAAAATTGTATCAGCTGTGTCGTACGAAAAAAAAAAAAAACATTTACGGCAACTATGTTGACATTCACTCAAAAATTTAATCGATCCAAGTTGCTTCATCAACGCTGAATACAAGATATGTTCAAGTATTTTACAACACAAAGGGGTAAGTGAAATTGGCCTGTAGCTTGACACATTACATTTGGACCCACTTTTGAAAACTGGCACGACACTGGCTACTTTCCATTCATCAGGCTATTTTCCTTCCTGGAGCGACTTAGTGTAAATTACATAAAGGTACTTAGCCACTGCTCTAGCACAATATTTCAACACTCTAGGTGAAATGCCATCGGGACCCGTGGCTTTTTTTTTTTTTTTTTCATCAATATTTTCGAGTAATTTGGTAATACCACTAACAGAGAGTTCATCCTGCTCCATGATAGGATACTGATCATTTGCAATCTGTAGGGAGGCATTCTCTTAGAGAAGAAATACAGATTAAAAAAAATCATTAAATGTTGAAGCTTCATCGTACGCATTATTCAGTCAGATTCTCTCAGACTGTAGATTTTTTGGTGGCCTTAGCTTATCTCTTCCGCACCGTTTCATGAACTTACAAAACTTATTTTTATTGTTACTTTGAAGATCTACGGTTAAACCCTGAAAGAATTTTTTTTTGTCTATCTCGTAATGTTTTCTTATATTACGTTAGGTCCCGTCGCTTACGAAAATTGTAGTCCGATTTAATTTTGCAGCACTTTGCAAGTCATTTGGAAGAAGAATTAATACATTCACTTTAAATTAGCATCCTTTATGAGTCCCTCATGGCATTGTCATGAAATACGCGGGCATGGAAAGACTCAAGCTTTACGTATATGCCTACTGTCCCTACATGCTTCATAAGTGTAGGACGCTTCTTTCTTCTTCGACAACTTGGCGATATCAAAATGAAAACAGGTATAGCCTATACCCCCTAGAGCGTTATAAACAGGACTTACTTTCGGAGTGTATGTGCCGCTCATATGCCTTACCACTGAATGCTACGTGCTAATGCGCTCGATATTAGAAAAAAGAAATCTGTGCCTGAATAATGTATACATTTTAAACTTGATTGCTTCTATTTGCACTACCCGCCTATTCAGTCCGGGGGAAGTGTGTGACCCTCTTCGATAACTATAGTGCGAGTATGAACAAAGACAGAACGGAAAGCAATGACAAGAAGGATAACCTGAGAGGTTAGCCACGGCTTGCTAATTTGTACAGGGGGAAGGGGAACAGGCAATGAAAGTAGCGATGAAGGTGCCACTTGCTTGAATCTCTGCCATGAAACACCCTTCGTGCTGTAGTTGTCGTCATTTATAGCCAATCCAGTGAAGGCGATGAACATGTCTTTGGGGTAACCAAATAAATTTTAAAAAATCGTTCCGAGATCTTGTGTCCTGCTCGCTTGGCCACAGGAAAATCTGGTTTGAATAGTCGCCCTCAAAACTATTTTTGACAAAGACGTCAACAGCATTCTTGTACTTTTTGTTATGCGCAACTAAATAACTTCTGTTTAGCCGCATCAGAAGGTAAAATTGTTTCTCGCGTGCAGGTTGTTGTTTAACTTGCAGTACAACATAACTAAACTGAATAAAAGGAAAAGAAATGGAAGGTGTAGGACGAAATGGTAGTCTACTGAAGCGAGGTGAACTTTTCCGTCTTGAAGGCAGCAGAGAACAGGTAGTAAAAAAATATAAGTGGATACGGAGCAAAAAAAAAAAAAAAAAAAAAAAAGATTACATAGCTTTTTAGGTGGGACACATGGAGTAATTAAAGCGGACGTTCACCATGTTGACTTAGGCACTGATTAGGTTCTCATTTTGTTTTTCAAAGTCTAGAGAATTGTCCCGCCGCACCCATCAGGTACAGCACCGGCTAGAGTACCGCTGACCGATTGGCTCCTGTACTTCTCGGTAACACGAGTCTTTGCGTTACGTTGGCGTTGATGTCAACTTTGCCGAACTTATTCATTAGTGCCTTTCTGTGGTCCGCACATTGGTCACGCCCAGAAGTCATGCTCTATGCCTTCGGGTTGACTGCAGGAGGCGCGATTAGCTGTGTTCTACCGTCTGATGTACAATAACGACAAAAACCAAGCACGTAAAAGCCCCCTGAGAAAGAAATTAGACATTACCGTAGTGAAGAAATTTTTATGAACGTATGCGATGTAGGTCAAAACATCGCGAAGTAGTTAATTTCTTTTATAAGAAGGAAATGGCACCGCCAAAAATCTTCTGTACCCCTTAATAAACCACGCTCCGCAGCCTTTATAAATAAGAGAAGAAGCTTGCGCATTAACAATTGACAGCTTTGTCTTAGTCTTAGTTTAAGAAATGTGACTGCAAGCCTTCATTCAGAAAGGCTCAGCATAGAGAATGGTTTAAACGGCACCAACCACTTAACGTATTAAAAAAAAAAAAAAAAAAAAAAAAAGATCAATGGAGGTGTGCTCAGTGCTAGGAGAAAACCACCTCTCTGTGCGCCAAGCGCATCGTTGAGACCAATTTAAATGCTTCGAGCTGTAGAACAAAGCGGCTTAGTGGTGCATCTGTTAAACACACAATTGAGACCATTTGAGCACCTTTAGTAAGGAATGTGTATTATCTGCTCTTAAATATATCGGTTGATAGGAAACTACAATCAAAATACTACATCTTATGTTGAAATGTGGTCTGGGCGCGTGACAGCGTGGCCTCCAGCTGTCCGTGACCGTAATACCCGTATTAATGCGAACGCTATAAATACTAAATGATATATCATTATTTGTTGGGACTATATGTCGGTATAAATTGAAGAAAAGGAGATGAGAGCGCGTTGGGTCGTCGGAATGCCGAGCTTTGGGTAGAAATTAGTTTATAAATGCATTCCTATGTCTTTGTCTCTGTTCGAATGCGTTCGAACGAGAACGCCAAACGCCGAACAGCGGCGTTCGGTGTTCTAACGCGTTCGGAGATTGAGTAGAGACAAAGGCAGCTAGTTTCGGGTCTACCCACTAATCATTCCAACTAGAGCTCGGCATTTTGACGCCCCCGCGCGTTCTCCTCTGCTTCCCATGAGTTTCGTACGCCAGCGTGAAGTCCTTCAAAACGGAATAAGAACTATTTTAAATTATTGAATAGTTCAATTATTTAACCTGTAAAGTGATGAATGCAAATACAGTTTCCATGATTTTCTCAATACAGTTCGCACGTTTTTAGGCGTACTCTATCCTATCTGATCCGATTAGCCGCTACGTAGAAACATGGCGCCAGCGTGGTCACGTGAGCCTCGCGTTCCGGTCTCAACGCAGACGAAAGTTGTCCGTACCCCCGTTTCGAAAGGACACCCCGCCCGTAGCAGACGACCAGGGCGACCTCCAATACCACTTTTTTTCCCCTTCCCCGTCGCTCGCGTCTTTCATCGATCGCCAAGATGCCGGCAGTCTGTGAACCGTACAACGCAGTCACACCGCTTCTACTGGCGAATCCACTTACACGTGAGTATCTTAACTAACCTGATTGCTCGCGGCCTCTGTATAACCTGCCCGCGTCTCCGCTTGTTCTTTTGCCGAGGGCGTGAATGCTTTATAAAGCCCTAAAAATAGGCGAGGATTGCGTCCGCTCTTTCTGCGCGATGCTCTTTCGACGTAACGGTCCGTCCCTCGCAGGCTGTCGTGCACACCACTGGGTACACTTCAAGGCGATTTAATTTCTGCCGACTTCCAACTTTGATCGGTTGTCAACGGTGACGCAATGTTATTCCTATCCTCTCGGATCATTTGACTTCCTAGCTCTCGCGGATGCTATAATTGTCGCCGTTTCATAGGCAATTATTGCTCCCGTGATGCGCGAGAAATCGCAAGCGATGAAGCTTGCAATCTCCGTTCCCAGTCGGCTGTGATTTTGTGCTTGTCTCTCGGTGACGCGTCTACTTCATCGTTCGTAAGTTTTTTTGTTTTTTTTTTTCGTGTGTGTTCGTTAGTTTTTGCTGTCGTCGCCACCGAAGTAATCGTTCGTTGCCCATGGCAACTCTCACGCCAAAAACATCGCAGCATCGTGTGAATCAGAGCAGCGCTGCGAAGTAACGGCCCCAGAAAACCACGGGCTTCTCAGGAAAACAGATTAATGTGTCGTTTACGTGGTTTTGTCCTCCAGTGACGTTCATTATACGTAGCTTCGAGAAGTCATGAATATAAACGCGGATGTCCTGTTTTGCGTTTTAGGAGAAGATGAGACACTTTGTGAGTCCTTTCACTCTGTCTTTCCCATTAATTTACATCGTTGTAAACTTCCGTCAGCTCACCGTGACTCCAACTGCATATATATATATATATATATATATGTATACTTATGTTAACAATATTCTTTCAGCAGAAACGCTTCCCATTTGGGACAAAACTATATATATATATATATATATATATATATATATATATATATATATATATATATATATATATATATATATATATATATATATATATATATATATATATAATTTTGTCCCAAATGGGAAGCGTTTCTGCTGAAGGAATATTGCTAACATAAGTATCCACCCATTCCAGACTTCATTTAAAGAAACAGTACGTCGAGACAAAACCAGAGCGACAACGGGCATTCAGACAGTATAGTATTCCCGACTTTGGAACGCGAAACAATTACGGTAACCTTTTCTTCATAAGCCCTCGTAACTTTTCTTCACAAGCTCTCGTAACTTTCTTTAATGAAGCACTAAAAAATTCGCGCTCAACATTTGGCAGTTGGGTGCATATAATTAGTTTTTAAGATATAAAAACTACACGTTTTTGCGTATTTCTAAACACACTAAAAAGCTTGAGCTTTTATTAATAAATTCCTATATCCCCCCCCCCCCCCCCCCACCCCCCCTCTTTTGAAAGCTAGTTTCATTTTTTTTTATATTGTGTTTCAGATACCATCCTTTTGAAATAAGTGCACTAAATATGATAAATATGAACGAATACTGGGCGGTTTATACAGCGGGTGCATCCCAGCGATCATTCTCGCAGGGAATCGATCCCGTACGAGCAAATATAGATTAAAAAAAAATTCATGGCCAGATAAAAAAAAAAATTAATAGAAAAGCAGTTTGCACGGAAGATGTGAGCACGTGGTATTGCGTGCAGTACACTCTCCTGACAGCTACGTAAAGGGTTTCCGAGCATTTAATTGTGCCAGTACAGAATAGCCCGCTAGGACAAACGTCCAGGCTACCTACCCTCTCTGTCTCTCTGTCATCAAAATCAATCAATCAATCAATCATTGTCAGTCCGCAGTAAATCGTTAGCCGGTATAAGAACGCTGAAGAGCGAATCGCAAAGAAAGATACGTGAACGTGTAGTACGAAAAATAATAATGTTTTATTATGCTGGTGCTCACTACCGAGAATGCCATCAAACAGAAAGGTCAGTATTAGAACTCAGAAAACAAACGTTGGAAAAACAAAACTAAAACATACACAAGACATGCCTTGACATACTAAAAAGAAAAGACATAGGTTTACGCGTAAGTAGATTAGAGTCACGAAAACAGGTTAAACTATCAAAGTTATCTTGACGTACATCGTTGCGATCAGTTTGATTGCTTAAAACAGAGAGGGCATGCGGGACGGATGAAAACTTTAAACGCTCTGAGTGACCCGAGACGGGACATGAAAATGTATACACCGTAATAAATCAACTGATTTCACTTACCCGTAAACAACTTTGTGCAAAAAAAAAAAAGAAAAAAAAAACACTACAAGAAACAATGAATAGATTGCCTCTTCACAGATAACTCGGGCAATGAAAATCAGTGCAGTAACGTTTCATAACGAAAAAAAAAAAACTGTCATAAAACATTCTTATTATCAGACTTTTTTGTTTGTACAATTTGAATTGCAAGAATTTGTGATACGGTCGAAGAATTTCAAATGACGGAGTCAAATTCCAGTCATGATGGGACTAACGATTTTTATATGTAGAATAGACAGAAAGGTGTTGACATGTGGCCACACAGCCGTAAAACAACGCACAGTCTTCTAACGCTGCATTTACAGTTACAGAAACATGGTTGCTAAAAGAAAGTCTATGCAGACACCAAGATCCTTGGTAAAATATGCCCTAAGAAGCAAGACACCCCCCCCCCCCCCCCACTCCCCAGGTTATACGAAAACGATTAGAATTATAAATTTATAGTTTACTGGGGGTTAAGCGATGAGCAATTTATCATGCACAACTTCACAACACATTCAATGTCCGCTTCAAGGCGATAACAACCTACTTCAAGCCTAAAACTAGCTTAAATGGAAGCTGAAAAGTTTTTTTTTTTTTTTTTTAATTCGGGAAAAACTGTGAATGTTTGAATGTAGGCACCCTAAAAATCAAGTGTCCAAAATTTCCTCGAGATTTTATAAGCAGGAGTGACGCAATCGCCAATGAAAATTTGGTCGTAGCCCCGCCCACTGCGGCGCGCCGAGCGTAGGAGAGCACGAGAGCGGAGGGTAAAACTTGCAAAGATGCCGCCATCGGCGGAGTCACGTGACCTTTGCCCGCCACTAAGCTGCTCGGAGATGTCGACGATGGCGTCAAAACACCTTGGACAGGTAACAGGTGGCAGAGAGGCTAGCGCTCACGCCCTGCGCGAATCCCTGCACGTTTCTCCAAAAGAAAAGCAGTATACTTCAGCCAAATTCAAGCGCGGTAATCGAATTCACGGATACAAAACGCAACAGAAGTCTGCTCTAAACTCAGTTTTCTTGAAAAGCGCTTCAGCTCATTCATTTTAACGCCATCGGCAAACAAAAGAGGTTTTCTATTGGTTACGCAATGAACGAAGGATTGAGCACTAAGGCACTCCTGATTTTTAAGTAAATTCGTCAGGGTAACTACGAAGAACGCGAACGGAGTACCGACGACTACTTGATAGCTAGTAATGGGCTGATTCCGTGTAAGACAGGTTTGTATAACAGTAAGTAAAGACTAACACGGTTAAATGCTTTTGGCCTCTAACAGTAAATGGTGTCAACTTTCCCTTTAATAAATACATTAAAAGGATGTAACTAACCCATACCGGCGTTTCTTAACCTGCCAGTGAATATAAGATATATACGGTGCCTCTATAGTTACTGTTTGTTTCAGGTTGAAACATGTGTTCAGCCTTGTCCTTAGCCGCGAGCTCCTTTTGTACACACTACGGAGACGCAGCGGATTTTTTTTTTTTTTAGTGCACAGAACGTTATTTAACAAGGCCGTAGACTTTCCGGTATTAAACAGAAAACACCGATAAATATTTGTCGGTGTCGAAAATACAAACTTGATTAAAACCGAAAAACACCGATAAACAGCTGCTGGTGCAAAAACTGCAAAATTAGTTTGAATTTGAAAAAGAAAAACACAAATTTCCGCAAGTTTTTTTTTTTAGCTATAGATTGTTTTTGAACAAACCCTCCCTCCCCTCTCAGACATGAACTCTTAATTTTTTATTAGATTTCTTTTCGCTGGTAACGACAACATCCGCTGAGTTCTCTTATTAATAAACACCGGAAAAATCCATGCCACGAGTATAACAAATGAATGTGATAGAATGAATACCGTACAATAAATGCATCGAATGATGCATCATAAATACAACACTTTCCATTACATCAAGCATGTCTAAACAAATTGGCGATCAAGGAATGTCGGTTAATTCTGTTGTTTTCAAATTAACATAAGCTTCACAAAGACCCTGAATAGAATCTCTAAAGAATATCGAATGGTCAGTGACGCAGCTTGAATTCGAGTCGCACGTGTATGCTACAGCCTATGTTGTTGTTGCTACGTGTTTTTTTTTTTTTTTGTTTTGTTTTGTTACTGCTGAGTTTGTTGTTTTTATTGCTGCTGTTGTGTGTTTGTGTGTATGTTTATACAGTGTGAAGTTAGTCTGCCTGAACGGGCGAGTTGTCTTTCAGCTGTAGACGAGCAATTTAGTCAGTGCAGTACAACCGATAGACTGGGCTCTTTAACATGCACCACTTACGTAGTGATACACGACCGCACGCCGGTACTCGATGCTCATCCAGATCGAAACGGGCAGGGTGGGGATTGAATGCGGCTGTTGTTTTCACATATGTCGTGTAGTATTTGTTATTTTCTTAGATTCAGAGCACACACCCAACGAAGCGATTCACGTTGCATTTAAGGTATGTCTCTTGTTTCCGGTTCTTTTTTTTTTTGTACAACCATCTATTTAATAGAAGTTAACTTGGTTCTCGCTCGCGCATTAATAGCCAGCTTCTCTTTTTGACATTTTACTCTTATAATACCAATTTCTTCATACGCGATCGTTCACGTATATCAAAATGCACTTGGGTGAGCCCATTGCTGCAATTTATGGCGAAGGAAGAGGCTAAAAATATGTTTAAGGGCTGTTTATACTTCGACGTTGAGCGCAGTGAACTCAGCGTAGAGCAGAACGCGCGCCTTTCATTGGCCGGCAACCAGATACTTGATATCTGCGA